TCAGGCTGTGCCAAAAAAGTGCAGGAGCAGGCACTTGTCCCCGGTAACGGAGGAGATGGAGCTGTGGGTCACGGCTACACTCAGCCCCCGGGTACCCAACGGGGGTCTGTAGAAGAGCTACAGCACATGGGGCAGATGTGGGGTCACATTTTGGGGGCTGAGAGCTCAGCTCTGGGGGTTTTCAGAAAGCAGATACATTTTCAGAGTCTGCCTCTGCGCCCTCCTTCTGGTCCAGCTGCAGCCGAGGATAGAGCAGTTTTGCAAAGCATCGTTTGTAAAGCATTAAGGAGGGGTCGAGCCTTTCTGCAAAAGTGTTTTGAGCCTGGCAGTATCCCCTGCTTTCTAAGCAGCAAGGAAAAGTGAAGGGGGAGAGAGGGGAAAAAAAAAATAAATGGTGATTTTAAACTTGTTATCAGAATGAACAGGAAGGTGAGTGATTTTTACCGAGCAAACTCTATCCCATAGGCAGTCCTGGTTTCTGTACCTCCTCTTTGCTCTATGTGACTGGCAGCCGCTACCCCATCTTTTACAGACCTGTAGTCATTTAAATGAAACTCGTGGACCACATCTTCTCCGTACTGAACAACTCCGACCTGGGGATTAAAGGAATATCATAAAGGATGCCAACAACCTGCTGTGTAGCGAGGGTCTGCGACATAACGAGCACGCTTTCTCAGCCACGGGAAATAACAGCCACCGTTAAAAATCAACCACTCTGTCCCCGTTTCCTCCACTTTTCTGTCTATGGGGCCATCAATAATGCTCAATTTTATTTCTATTCTCTGCCAGCCCTCACCCATGCGCAGCCACCCCTGCCCTGCTATAAAGGTCTGGGGGGACGCAGACGTCCTGTGCCCCAGTGCGGACCCACAGCATCTCTAAATGGGACCAAATGGGGGGTTATTTGTGCAAATTGTTGAGGATATCCCTGCCCAAATCCTCGCCCAGATCAGCTCACAATTACTAACAGGAGGAGAAGGGAGAGCTCTTCGCAGCCGCAACGAGCTGCCGCGGCACGGGGTACTACGTCTCTGTTTCCATAGGATTCCATCCTCCCCGTGCCCCGTCGGGGCGCGGGGTGCTGCTCTCTCCATAGCTCATTTAGGGACGTTCACGCCAGCATTATTTCCACGGGCTCAGCTTTAAAATCCATACATTGAAAATTTATTTTGAAAAAGCGCGGCGTTGAATTACAGCACGTCGGCAGAAAAGGGGGGTTGAAAAGGGCCCCGTGAGCACGGCCGGGGGAGTCCGCATGACGCGGGGGGATGCACAAGTTGTGCAGGGGCTTACTTGGATCTGGCCGGGGCCAATATAAAATTTTTTCAAGATGTTTATCAGGAAGTGCTGAACTTCAACCCATGGATATATGCTGTTTGATCCATCCAGAACTATGATTATGTCCATGTACGTCTGGCATCCTGTGAAAAATACGCAGCGTGTTATTGAAAGACCTTGGCAACGCCTGCAAAGGGGGGATTTATGGCTTCGCTCCTCGCAGTCAGGTACTTGCTCTTATGATCTGTTTGAAAAGAAAATCTTATTTCAATCGTTCATAAAGATTTTTGGGCTCCAACAAGGTAGAGAGAAGCCACAAGCATCCTCTCTGCCGAGAAAAGACAGGATCACTCTCTAAGAATAATACTCAGCGCTATCTTTTCTGATTCAGATTTGGACCTTTACCCGGTCGAATGCAGTTGCGTACTTCAAAAAGCGGCCGGCTGCAGGCAGGATCCGGCCTCCGCTCCTCCTGCGGAGCAATGCTTTACCCCTGAGTCACCCCTCCGCCCTGCCTGGACTCGCCGTACAACACCAGCCGGGCATTTCCTCCCCTTCCCGTTAAATCCTCAGCGACGAGGCAGCCAAAAAACCCCAGGCAGGACCCCAGGGCTTGGCTTCGCAGTAGGAGCTGTGAAGGATTTAGGCAATCAACTGGTTTTTCAGTGGGGAAAATTGCTCAGCGTCATCTCTCTATCTTGCTTATGTCTTATAACATTATTTAGAAAAGTGGCAGAAAACCAGAAGATGCTGCATTTTCCCATGACAGGTATTTATCGGCTGCCTTTTTCACCTACCTTGGGCATTTATGGGTTAGCGCGTCCATGGACTGGAGTCACCCATGGGTCACTCCATCACTGTGGTCCTCAGCTCGTGCCACCATCTCGATCCCCCGTGGCGCAGGGAGAGGAGCTGACCTCCCGCATCCCACTTGCTAAACATTAATGCCCTGCTCGTTAACCACCACCTCTCTAAAACAAACCAATTACCCTTTGCAATGAGGGTTAAACACATCTCCTGGCCATAAGGGGGGAAGCGACACCGAGAATTTGCTGGTGGGATCTGCCTTTACTGCCTCTGCCACCCAAAAATCCCGTTTTCCCGTGCTCTGCTCTACGCCGTGGGAATGAATTGACACCAAACTGGTGCTGGAGCTGGGGCATCGCACCCTGTGCCCAGCTGGGGCAAGGAGCTTCTGGGAGCCCCGATGATGTAGGACAGGCTTCTGCAATTTCTTATCGCCTACAGGAAAGCCAGGAAGCTTATTTAAGAGCTCAAAATAAAACCACGTATCCAAATTTACAAATTTGGGCCAAAATATTTAGCTTTCAGTCAATGAGCGCTTTGTTTTTTGTGGCCAAGGACTGAA